CACATCGACTATCTACCAAATGCATCCCATCATTGTTCACTTAAGCGATTTTGTGACAAAATACTATACACTGGTGTGCAAAAATTAAGGATGAAGTCGAAAAATTAGCATATCAGTTGAACGAAGAGGCAGAGTGGACAGAAAGACCAATCAGGAGATTAAGTAAGGTGATGTACGGTAGCACATGCGCAGATATGCAGGTAGACGTAATGGGGGAGTGTCTGAGTAGTATAAAGAATGTTGTCGGTGTAAGATCAGTATTTCTGGCAAAGAGATTGCACGCCGTATATAGCAGTTAAAATCACACCGAGTTGCTGCCTCAGCGAGAAATGGCGAATAATCAATCTGTTAGACGACATCTGGATGCTTTTACCCGAGGTCGAATCATTGGGAAGTTGGAGGAAGGCCGCAGTGTGACAAGTGTGGCTGCAGAGTTCGGAATTGCTCACAGCATCGTTTCATGACTTCGGAGACAATTTCAAACTACAGGAACAGCTAACGGGGGGTTTAGTAGTGGTCGTCCACGAGGAACCATATCCACAGATGACCGGTATATTGCCTTACAGGCCAGAAGAAACAGGCGGCAGACAGCAGAAGAAATCGCTAGACACACGACACAGATGACTGGACGACCGAGATTGCATTTTACAGTGGCCAGAAGACTGCACGGTGATGGTCTGTTTGCACGACGCCCTGTACGGTGTGTACCTCTAACGCCTGCCCATCGGAGAAGGCGTTCTCTGTGGTGCCGGGAACACCGGAATTGGAGAGACAATGAAAGGGGACGAGTACTCTTTACAGATGAGAGCAGATTCAGTCTGAGTAGCGATTCTCATCGCATACTCATCTGGAGAGAGAGCGGGGAAGCCGCAATCATCCCTCGAACATCATTGAAAGGGACAGGTATGGAGGTGGCGGTGTTCTCGTTTGGGGAGGCATCATGCTTGGTAGTCGTACAGACCTTCACATCTTCGACGCAGGTTCAGTCAACGGGACCCGTTATTGTAACGAGATTCTTCTTCCATATGTGCGTCTTTTTAGAGGCGCTATGGGTCCGCAGTTCCTTTTCATGGACGACAATGCACCATGTCATCGCACAGTAGCTGCCGAACAGCTCTTAGAGAGTGAGGATATTGAACGTATGGATTGGCCGGCACGATCTCCGGATCTCAATCCCATCGAGCATGTATGGGATTTTTCTAGGCAGACGCTTGGCAGCTCGTACCTTACCACCAGTAACGATTCCGGAGCTTCGATTGGCGCTGCAAGACGAATGGGCAGCAATGCCTCACAACAACTCAATTGACACCCTCATTCTCAGCATGGGCAGACGCTGTGAAACCTGCCTAGCAGTCAGGGGAGATCATATCCCCTATTAAAGACCGGATGTTTCTTGCTGGACACCCATCACAGGGATGTTTCGGCCTTCAGTCGCATTGCGCTCCATGCTACTTTTTCAATAAAGCTTCTTTTTATCCCTCTGATTTCTCTTTTAGTAAGTGTTGCTTACATTACTCATGTCCTTACGTATTGGATCTTACGGTATTAAATGTGTTGATTTGGAAAGCTTTTGTACAAAGTTATATTGAAAAATCCGTCTCATCCTTAATTTTTGCACAGCAGTGTATTTCACCAGAAAATTTTCTGCAATTTCTTCCATTGTTGGCAAATTCAATGAGCAATATTTTAAAATTGATTTGAAGGCAAAATATATGAGTTGTCTATAAAAATAACTGGAACTTGGAATACATCAAAAAGAATGCATATGAAAATTGCGATGTTACATAACTGTATGAAGATGGCTGCATGAAGAAGGTTTATATTCATGATTGCCAGAGATTGGCTCATTCTGAAACTTTGGCAAATTCCACTGAGGTGGTTACAATAATATGTGAGTACCCAAATGTCTTATCATCAAGCAGGGTTAAGAGTATGTTTCTGTCTACTGGCTTTCATGGTAAACATGCAGCAAGTACACACAAAAGTATGACTATCCATAAGTAATCCCTAAATCATTTAACATTTATCTAAATTCAGTGCATAAAAGCAAGGTTTATGACATCTTAAGAAAGGGATTGTAGCAACTAAAGTCCCCGAAAGTAGCAATATCACCAGTAGAGAGGTAAGAAAATTCTTCTTTCAGTAAGATGAAAGGGAAGTATTGTTTAAAGGCATTGCTAAATAATGAAGAAGGAAAATTTTGTGTGGGGAAGACAAGGAAAGCTTTTAATAAGTGAGGCATTTCAGTTAGGGATAAATTCCATAAAGTAAGAAAAGCTATGTAGGAAAGATATTTAATGCTCATCAGAAGAGCAAAGAAAGGCAAAAAAATGTGCATGCATTTATGCATGATTCAAGAAATGAGAGAGTAAATGTGTGCTGCACATTTTGAACAGTGTTAATTATTATGTGTATATATAAGCAGAGTTATTAATTACAGACTATAACAGTATATATGTTACCGTGAAAGACCGAAATTGGAGAATGTCGACTTTCATCGGAGAATGTCAACATTCACCAAATACGTCAGTGAAAGATTGAATATTTCTTTACATTCCTGTACATTCGGACCCTCACCGGTGTATGTCGACAATCACAGATATGCTCTCGTGTAGGTCGAAAAGAGAGGAGTATATGTACACGCTGCCATTCCAAAAAGAAGTGTTCCACAAATAAATGCAGTTGTAAAAGCAAGGGCCTCTTGTGCAATTCAAAGTGTCATAATAGTTTAAGTTGTTGCAATAAATAAGATTTGAATCGCATAATTTGGTAAGTTTATAACCTCTATTATTTTCCTTTCTCATTTTCAATGTACTGTGTGTTTTAAGTTCTTATGTTCTTATTCTGAGTCTCAAGTGCGTTTTTTCGCGAATGAATTATGGAGAAGGAAATATAATATTCTTATATGTTCAACATTCATCATTAGTACATGGTGAATGTCGACATTCACCGGTGTAAGTCAGAAAATATTTTGGACATACACCAAGCGACTATGTGAATGTTGACATTCACCAGTGAAAGTCGACATTCTCCAGATTTCGGTGTTTCGCCGTAACGTATATGTAAGATATAACAAAATATAATAGCTGCTTTAAAAATAACTGGCAACCTCAAAATTATCATTTTAGATTTGGTGCTCTCCCAACATTTCTTTTGAAGGGGGTAGATATGTAAGGTATAAAAAATACTACAGTACAAAGTCCATAATCTGGACTCGTCGGGATATCGGCGATTCCGGATTAGGGGTTTTTCCAGATTATAGATTATCAATTTAAATCTGGTAAGATGGCATGCAGAAATTATACATTAAAAAATATGAAACCGTAATTTATGAAATAAAGAGCAATTACGGTCTATAGGGTATTAAATTTTACAAAAAAATAGCTTAATATTTCTTCTTTTATACTTTGTGAAGCTTGGCTTTTTTTCGGTGCCTTGTGCTCCTAAGCATGTGCAATGAACTCTTTAAATTTAATTATGGACACATTCCCTCCACTATGGAGAGAAAATATTTATTTGTTTACTTTATGAAACGCGCGCATACGTAAAAACGTGCACGTAAAGCATACAAAAAAAAAAAAAGGTTTGTGGCTTTGAGGTCCGGATTATAGATTATTCCGGATAATGGATGTCCGGATTACGGACTTTGTACCGTATAGCTGTTTTAAAAATAATTGGCGTCCTCGAAAATAACATTCTAGATTTGGTGCTGTCCTCCTAAATTCATCTGTTCTCGCAAATTTGAGAATCTTCTATCTTATGTAATAACCTCAAATTAACTAATTACAGATTAGCTGTACTTGTACCTCAGACCTAGTATAAATACCTCTGGCGAGTTAATTGTGTCATTCTTCCCTTCCTCGACTGCTGCTCTGTCAACACCACATCGCTTTACTTTTTCTTAAATACCTATGTCATTTCTTTTACAAAGCCAATGTACGTAGAAAGGTATCATATTTCATTATGGCTTTATGAATATCTACTGAGATGATTTTATGTACATGAAATAAAGATTGGGAATTCGTCTAATTCATTTTTTTGTCGGAATCATCTGTTCGTCTTCCCAGTCTGCCACTCTGCCATCACGACTGCGTAATGACTTCAAAATCATTACACACACACACACACACACACATATATATATATATTAAATCTTAATTTGAGTGACTAACTTTAAAAGAGTCCACTATAAGCACATAAGAAATTTAACATACTGGTACAAAAACATTAAGTGTTTGAAATTGTGTATAACATTTTGTTTGCAGTTTAGTGTGCTAATTATGATAAATAAGAATTTAAGCAATATTGAAAAATGTATGTGCATGAAATAAGAAATATGTTAAATAAAATTCTAATTTTAATTTGCGTAGCTACCAACTCTCAGTTTTTCAACACATCTCCCAGCAGACCGTGGAGTATCTCGTTTTTAATTTTTAGCCTTTACTAAGGAAGCTGTTTTTAGTAGTAAATGAAATATATTGAATTAACGATACTTTTTACAAATTTTATCCCCACTTCCAGTGATTTTTTAGCCTAAATTTTTTTATTATTAAATTTTATTTGGTCTGATGTGTCTTAATGTTGAAATTGAATCATGCATTATAAAGTCAATTTGGAGTTCTTTCAAAATGATGCCATGCAGTGCACAGACCTCTGGACTTTTCATATTTTAACCATTAAAGCTGTGCATATTGGTATCAAGCATTGTTTCATCATTAACTAAAAAGTGTTAAATGGCCACGATTGCCATTTTCATCTTTAGCTGTTGCAAGCTCTATATCATATATCTATCCCGTTTTATGTTAAAAAAAAATTCCATTATACGGATATATTTATGTTAGAATCTCTAATTAAAAATTAATGGGTTATTGTATTGGTCTTAAGTGCTCAAGATAACTCAAGTGAAATAACAGTCAGGAAATTTATATGCTGTTTCAATAATCATTTTGATTTCTATATCAAGTGTTTGATATTTATGTTGTATATTTATTTCATTTTAGAAGTAGCACTTTCACCTAATAGTAATGAAGTTCACATATATAATAGAGATGGGGATAGATGGTCTTGTAACAATGTTCTTTCGCAACATGACTTAAGGGTCACCAGCATTGATTGGGCTCCTAACACAAATCGTATTGTAACTTGCTCAGCAGTAAGTATAGTGTGTTTCTTTCTAATGCTTTATTATTTGAATATATACACATCCATACTTATCTTTGCATGTGGGTATATATTGGACTTCTCCATGTACTTTTCACACTCTTATTTTTATAAAATATTATTTGATGAAAAATTATATCAGTATTTTTTCTGTGAGAAATGTAAATGCATTCAACTGTGCCATCTAACTGGGATGAATGAAGAAAATAGCTCGAGTTATTACTGCAACTTCCGAAGATTTTGTCTTATATTCCTTTAAAATCTCGGTTAATAAATCTTCTAGAAATTGCTTTTAAAGGGTGCATAACTAGAAATTACCACAGCTTGATTCCTGTTTATAAAATGCTCAAATTTGAAAAAAGATGTGTTAATATGTCAGGGAGGCATGGAAATAAATTTCACTGGCAATAATCGAGGTTAAGAAAACTGGCATGTTCACTGTCACATGGGTGATTTTAATTATGATGGCACTGGGGAAAAAAGGACTGAGAAATTTTTATTTAATGCAAGAAACAGCAGAATTAATAATCCTTTGTAATGGTGTCTCTTTGACTCTTACAGGTACTAGCCTCAGTTTCATATAGATTTTGAAAGCGATCAGATACTATCCTCTTGGGTATAAATGTATTTTTGCCTCAATACCAATGAAGGTTTATTTAAAATCTACAAACTAAGATTACTTGTTCATTTAATATTAAAATATTTTTGCACAGTGTTTACTGAGAAAGATTTTAAATTATTTGTAATGCAGTTAATTATGTTAAATTTTAAAGTATTAAATCTGCCTTATAAATTAGATAATCAGGATATCTTATAAATACTGGTTTAACTTATATTTGAAGGAAAAAATGTTTCTTGTGCATTGATTATTGATTAGTAAGAGAAAATTCAGTAAGTCTGTTTAAGTATGAGGGTAGTTCGGAAAGTAACCACCATTGTAGCATGCATGTAGTAGTAGTGAGTAGAGTGTCTACCTTTTTATATCACATAATTCAATAAACTGTCATACTGCCGTGCACCTCCTGATTATAATGTCACAAAATGTACACCGCCCTCAAAAGTCTTGGCAGTTGTGAGATACACAAAGTTATGAGACTTCTTTAGGTTAAAAAAAAATCTGTCAGCACTAAAACATTACTCGTGGATTGTTTGGTGTATACATTCCTAGCATTATGAGTGAAGGTACTGCAGATCAGAATTTTTCAATGCAGGAAAAACAAACATTCATGTTGAACCTAAGACTTGTAAGTCTCCTCTAGTGATGATTTCCTCACATATATTGAAGACAAAGCTTGTGATAATCACCCATTCACTATCTTGGAACTTTCTGAATATTTCTCAGACTGTTTTGTATCATTTGAAAATTAAGGTACTGGAAGTTTTATGCTCAATGGGTCCCAAAGATTCTGATGGAGGTCCACAAAACTAATTCAAATGAATTCTGTCTTAGACTTTCTTGTCTGGTACAACACAGAAGGGAGGAATTTTGGAACAGAATAGCAACTGGCAACAAGATTTTGGTGGGATATGCGAGTTCCGAGACAAAGGGGTAGTCAGTGGTATGTGGGTTGACTTTGGGGACCAGCACTTTGCTGGCAATGAGTATATTCAAAATGCTGCGACAGGTAGTTGAAATCCTCGCTGGCAATGTTTTATGCCAGAGGAATTTGCAAGTAGGGGAAACGCTATGACAAGTGCTTGAATTTGCATGCCAACTGTGTTGAAAAGTAGCACAGCTGTACTTTTTCAGATGTAAATAAAAACTTTGTATTTATACACATTTTTTATTATAACCAAACAGAGGTTACTTTCCAAATAAACCTCGTATAAATATTTTTTTTTAAGTGTGCAATTTATTTTGGCTTTAGAAAATGAAATTTGATTGTTTCAGAAAGCGTAAGTTATGAATAACTATAAATATAAATCTGGGTGAAAAAATCAGCATGCACAGTACAACAAGTGCAAATCATCAGAATCGTGCAGTCAAATTATGGCTTGTAAAAAAATTATAAATGAAAATGTATCAGCTTAAATAGAAAACACAAGCTTACCCAATCATATTGGAATTTTCCAAATGAAATAGACAGTGCTTTCTTTGTGTTTGTTTAAAGCAATTTTGAAATTAATAATGGGAGCCAGTTCAAACATCTTAAAAACTTCAAAATTATAAGGAAACCTTAGTTCACAAATATAATTTATAAACCTAAAGCCATTTGTAAACCTAAAGTTTCCTATATAAAAATTTATGTAAAATGTATTAATTCATTTCTGGATCACAGAAATATAATTGCTTATTTAAACACATATAATTGCTTATTTAAACTTCAGAACATAAAACAGTATTTATGGACAAATTCTTAACCCAGACGGCTGGAAGTCATTAAATGTAAAATAAAGAAGATATACAGATTGCTAAAAAAAATAAAATGATATATAGATAGTTGAAAACCTAATCTGATTTTATTGTACCTGTACAAAGGGGAATGGTCACCATAAGTGGAAAATGATAAGGAAGATGCTAGAGTTCTCTTCCATAAGCCCTAAAGTAACTGTGTTTAGAGGGTATCTTTTTTTTTAAATCTTTAGTCTCATAAGTGCTACACGACTTTGCTTGGGACTCCCTGGTCTGCTGTTTCACTCAAAATGTTGTGATTGTTGTTGCCTACATTTAAAAATGTTTTTAAATTGAGATGTGGCATTGTCTTTGAAAAGACTGATGCTGTAACTTGTTACTGCTTTATCAGGGGTGATAACATCACATGGAAAAATTTGCACCATGGCCTATTTTTCATAAATGCCATGGGATCAGAAAATTAGGATAATTTTTCTTTTTTTCTCTTGTCTGAAAACAATTTCCACAATAGTCTTTTGTTGCTGCATCTGAAATTGTAGATCTTGCTTGTTAAGCTCATTTTTATGATCCTTTGGTACATTCTTCATATGTTCCTTGTTAACTTTGTAGCCCTTGTTTTTGCTTAGAGACACAATACTACAGAAAACAAAAATATTTTTAGTGTCAAAAGTGCTCATAATCCCTGCCTACAAACTACAGGGTTCGTACGATCCTTAAGAGTCCTTAAAAGTCCTTAGATGTTTTTGGAATCGATTTTTGTCCTTAAAAGTACTTAATTTTGACCAAAATCAGCTGAAGGTCCTTAATTTTAATCATCTGAAATTTTTGTCTGTTTTTACGACTGCCATTTTGAATGGGAATTAGCATTTTGAAGAATATTTTTGGTGATTCGCTGACGTATATGCAAGAAATGAAACACAAGCATTTCGAAATTCATTTTTTCAAATAAAAAGCTCTTAGAAACTTTTCGCTTTGGGGGTTGTGAATTCTTGTATTAAATGGTTCTAAATTTGGCGATTTTAAGATCAGTTTCTATAGAAACTTTTAATTCTGAGATCTGAGAATTTTTCGACAATGTTTTTAAAAAAACTGTAACATTGATGAACTTCATTAAAATAATGATAATATATTGAAATTATATTTAAAAAATAACATTAAAATAAAACATTTATTTTTTGCTGTCATATTATAAAGTTTCATTTTGGCAACTTATTATACAGTATTTTAAATCGTCTCCAAAGATATGTGCGGTTATTATTATTTAAATTACCCAATTGTTTATGAGTTCAGCCTTTACTATAATTTCCCATTTCTGTTTCCTCATATGATAGAGTTGCTGAGCCAGATAAAATTAAATTGTATAATCTTTGACCACTAGCCCACATTATTAGTTTGAATTTGACTGTTCTTATTTAATTACATCACCGTGAGCTGTAATTGATTTTTTTAGCATCAGCATGCCTTTATGTTCTAAGTTCTTTTTAAATAAGAGGCTTATTTAAACCTTTGGTCTGATATTGTAGTTACTTTCAGACATAGTGGTAATATGCTTCATGTCTGTCGGGGGTTTTGGACTATTTAACTTTTACCAGATCAAGTAAACCCTCATAGCTACATTGTGGAGATGTTGACAAGGTAGGAGATAAAGCATTCAAAGACTAGCAAGAGCATTGATATGCATATTGTGACAAATCTTTAATTGTTAGAAAAAGATGCTTAAAGGGAAGGAAATCTATATAAACTAGCCAAAATGTCTGGGAAGGCTTCAAATTAAAATAATGGAGAACTAGTTTGTTGAGTGTTGTTGTTACAAAACATAAATGTTTTGTAACTTTTAATGTGTATCTTAATATCGTTTAAGAATCAATTAGATTAATTTATTAGATTTTGACTATAATAGGTATTTTTTAACAAATATTGTTAAAAAATAAAATTTAGTAGTAGTTATGTAAATCCATAAGGTTATCAAACTACCTAATTTAATTATTTACCCTTAAAAACTATCTTTACATATTAAAGCGAGTTATTGCCTTTCATTAATAATCACTGTGGTCACAAGATAAAATTCAAAAATGTAAAAATTCAAGTAAAACTTATTCTTTGCATCTACTGAGACCTAAAATAATACAAAACAACTTATCGCCTCTGGTACTTTAATGGCTTATTGGAACCTTAAAGTATATTAACTGGGTTACAACCCCTGGACCTCTACATGAAGCTACGACACTAACTGCATCAAACGGAGCCTGACTAACTTTCAACACTTGCCAACCGTGCATACATCAGGCCTTTCAGGTTTGTTCTAATTAGCAGTTCTCTCTCTAGACAAGCAGCAGCGGCGACAGCATTCAGTCTTTTGTTATGAATCATGCTGATTATGATCTTACTTCTCATTTTAACGTATGCCGTTTGACATAAAATCTACCTGCTATTTATTAAACCTCTAGACTGACCAAGAATGTGACAAAATGAGACATTAAAAAAAAAAAAAAAAAAAAAAAAAAAAAAAAAAAAAAAATCAACATAAAGCTAACTGTTAGTAAAACGTAAATGTCCCTTATCTTCTTTTGAATATGACCAACTATTATAAGGTTAAAAATAGTTAATGCTACTTGATCAATTGAATAAAGTTTATTTTA